GTGTGTGTGTGTGTGTGTGTGGATCTACACTCTTGCACTGCTTTTTCTCACTGTTTCTCTCCCCTCCTCTTCGATTCCCCACAAGACCGAAATGGAAGATGTGAGCTCCAAAAGGGTCAGCGAATTCTTGCAGAAATGCGTCAAGCTAGAGGATAGCGAAGGGGACGCCCAGCCCAAGGAGGAGATCATAGAAGTGCAAGCCCTCCCTATCCTTGTGCCATCCTACCCTCAGACAGTTCAAGGTATGGACGTTCCCTTCCTCGCATCCTCCGTTGCGATCAGCCTTATCTGTTTATTTATATGCCACTTTGCCACAAAACTGTGTATGAAGAACCCTCTCTCTCCTTTTAAATAAAATTATAGCAACAAATACAAAAAAAATGATCCATATTTGCATAACCAGGCTAAAAATCTACTAACCTCATTTACCAGCTTAAACTGAACATTGCATTGCTACAATTTACAATATTAAAGCTGGGATAGCTCAGTCAGTAGGGACGCGGGTGGCGCTGTGGGTGAAACCACAGAACCTAGGACTTGCCGATCAGAAGGTCGGCGGTTCGAATCCCTGCAACGGGGTGAGCTCCCGTTGCTCGGTCCCTGCTCCTGCCAACCTAGCAGTTCAAAAGCACGTCAAAGTGCAAGTAGATAAATAGGTACCGCTCCGGCGGGAAGGTAAACGGCGTTTCCGTGCACTGCTCTGGTTCGCCAGAAGTGGCTTAGTCCTGCTGGCCACATGACCCGGAAGCTGTACGCCGGCTCCCTCAGTCAATAAAGCGAGATGAGTGCCGCAACCCCAGAGTCGGCCATGACTGGACCTAATGGTCAGGGGTCCCTTTACCTTTACTTTAGCTCAGTCAGTAGAGCATGAGACTCTTAATCTCAGGGTTGTGGGTTCGAGCCCTGTGTTGGGCAAAAGGTTCCTGACCTCTCCTCTTATTCCCACAGAGGAAATATCCATGGTCTTCAATACCTGCGCGATGCCAGCCAACCTGGGTCCGTGCACCAGGCGGAGGCGCGAGAAAGGCGGCGGCCACGACGGGACGAGCGCCTCCCTCTACGTCGACCGCCGCAAATCCAAGGTGTGGAACTACTACACGAAGCTGGGGGATGCCTACGTCGAGTGCAACGTCTGCAAGAAGCAGCTCTCCTTCCACAACAGCACCACGACCATGAGGGAGCACCTCGTGAGGAAGCACAGCATCCGTGACACCCTGCTCTCTCAGCTGAAGGACGACCAGGTTCCCGACCCCGACTACGTGGCCCAGGAGACGGCGATAAAAAGGGCCCGCCAGCTCACGCCCGAAAACAGCAGCCAGTACCACGCCGTCTCCTGCGCCGAACCCAGGACGGACGTGATTCTGGAGCTGGTGCTGGAAATGATCTTCCGGGACCTGCACCCTCTCTCGGTGGTGAAGGACAAAGGCTTTGGCCTTCTGATTGGCTATCTAGAACCTAGCTTTATTCTCCCGTCCCCCATGCAGCTCTCTAGCATGTTGTGGCACCGGTACAACGTGGTCAAGCAACACCTAGAACATTACCTTCAAACGGCCCAGTCGATTGTGATCTGCGCCGAGTTCTGGCTGTCCCAGCCCAACCAGACCTACTTGACCATCATGACTAACTTCATCGACGGGGAGTGGAGGCGGGCCAGGTGTATCTTGGAGACCCAGCAGGTGCACGAGGATAAAGGGGAGAGTAACTTGGGAGACCGGCTGTACTCGGTCCTGACGGACTTTGGGCTGTCCAACAAGTCTGTCTTCTGTGTGATGCACGACAGCCTGCAGGATTTGGGGGCCAACTCCTCGCAACTCAAGTGCGTCTACGGCTGGACCAGCTTGTGCTGTGCTGCCCACCTGCTGCACCTGTGCGTCAAGGCGGGCCTCGAAGTGGAGCAGGTGCAAGAGGCCCTGAGCGCGGCGCGCAGCATCGTCTGCTACTTCCAGCAGGACGCGAAGGCCACCTGCTCGCTCAACAGCAAGCTGGAAGCCATCAACAAGACGAAGCTGAAGTTGGTGATGGACACGGGGACTCGGTGGATAACCACCATTGAGATGTGTGAGTGCCTGCTGGACCTCAAGTGGGCTATCATGTCCGTCTTGGAGGAGCACCCCAAGGGAACAACGGTGGTCCAGAACTTGGCCGACCACCAGTGGAAGCTCTTGCAGGACCTGGTGCCCGTCATGAGAACGCTCAAGATCGCCACGTCCTTCTTGCGAGAGGAGCAGAACTTCTCTATCTCCTCCTTGATGCCATGCATCCACGGCATTGTCACAGCCATAGGGCAGCAATCGGAAGAAGCGAGCGGCGTCATCAAGACGGTGGTGAGCAACATCAGGTCGGAGCTTACCCAGCGCTGGGGCATCTTGGATGAGGAGAAGTTGCTGGAGAGCCCAGCGGTGGTGGCCTCATTCCTGGACCCACGTTTCAAGGAAATGAGGTTCCTCAGCCCCAGCCTGAGGAGCGAGCTGCACAAAAAGATCAAGAGCATGCTCTCCCAGTTCTTCAACCACCAGTCCCCGCTGTCCAACCAGTTCTGGGTGCCAAACGCCGACTACAAAGCAGAGGTTGGCGAAACGGCCTGCCAGATCTCTGCCCATAAGGAGAGAGGCCCGAGCGGGCAGTCTCAGAGTATGTACGACATCCTTTTGGGGAAGGACCCTACGGAGAGTATGCCTGAGATCCATCAGCAGCTGGAGAACTACATTGTGGAGCCTCTCTGCAAGCGCAGCACAAACCCCTTGGACTGGTGGAAGAACAATGAGCACCGCTTCCCCTCCGTAGCCAGGTTAGCCCGGCAATACCTGGCCATCCCGGCGACGGTCGTGCCACCAGAACAGGCCTTTGCTGCCAGCGAAAGCGCCCTGGAGCACCGGAGAGGTGTGCTTGCTCCCGAGAACCTGGACCAAATCCTCTTCTTGCATCAGAATTTCGATTTTTTAGAATCTATGAGAAATGGCAACGAGAATCTGAGTAAGGCGGTTCACAACCAGTACTGAAAGTCAGGTGCGCCGAGACCAGTGTATTACGGTGTGGCCACTGCACTGGGAGATGAGGAGGGATGCAAAATCTTGGAAGGGGGGCACCTTGGCCCTCAGGTTACTTTAGGGGGAGGCACAGGTCAGGGCCTGATCTTGCCTGCTTAATTTAAAGATGAACGTTTGCCTGCTGTCTAAACTCACCCTTGTTCTTCGCTGTAGTGGTATCTCAACCTACAACTCAGTAGTGTTTTTTCTTGAAAGGTTGTGCTGGACTCGGAGCAGAAAACAAACTTTACAAGGGCCATATCCAACAATAATCTCAAAAGATACAGGTGTGTTTCTGGAAGGCCAATCCTAGTCTGGAGGTCTATAATAAACCTACCCATTTACCTGTCTTATCCTGGAAAAGAAGGTACTGTATTTTTCGCTCTATAAGACGCACCAGACCACAAGACGCACCTAGTTTTCGGAGGAGGAAAACAAGAAAAAAAATATTCTGAATCTCAGAAGCCAGAACAGCAAGAGGGATCGCTGCGCAGCGAAAGCAGCGATCCCTCTTGCTGTTCTGGCTTCTGGGATAGCTGCGCAGCCTGCATTCGCTCCATAAGACGCACACACATTTCCCCTTACTTTTTAGGAGGGGAAAAGTGAGTCTTATAGAGCAAAAAAATATGGTAAATAGGGAGAGAATGTAGAAATCGCTCCAGAGCTCGTGGGGCTCACTTAGTTTAGTGCATTATAATGCTGTTGTGTGTGTGTCTTCATTTTCATTTGCCTTTAAGGTTCCTATGAGGCCCTTCCATTGAGGGAGACATAGGTGTTTTGAGCCTCCGTCACCCCTTTACCTGTGCTGGAATCCTGTAAAACAGAGGTGGCTACCCTACCACCCACCAGATGTTGTTGGGATGCAACTTCCATTGGCCTTGCCAGCTAGGACTTGATGGGAGCTGGAGTTCAACAGTTTGAGGTCTGCAGGTGAGCCGCACCCTGCTTTAGGAGAAAGTTGTAGCTCTTTCTACACATCAGTTTACCATGTGCTAGTCCCACATAATGCAGAAAGCCACCACCCACACCTCTTCACCCTCAGAGTTAGCTAGGTGCTTCCGTTTTTAAAAACAAAAGAACGCTGCGCTGTTGCAATCCTTCTGCATCAAGGCACAAGGACCAAGTGGGTTGCAGGAAGCCTACACTTCCATCCAGAACAAAGACGTCTGTGCAGTATAGCTGTACCTTGAGGGTGAGCGCTAATCCTGACCTACAGACTTTCCCAGTTCCTTTGCCTTGTACTAACCGATGGTGATGGGATTCCAGAGGCTCAAAATATGCATGTTTCCACCTGCAGAGGGGAACATGCGACTTAGTCTGTGAGTGAGTGGTGCATTTGTTATGTAGGCCCTTCCAGGAAATCCATTCAGATACTGCCTCTCTGGGCAGGTCAAAACCTTGTGGTGTTCACACAAAGTGACACCTTGATCTGAAGGTGAGATGAACCTCTTAAGGCTCGTCCACACTTCCGCTTGTCTCATGCTTACTAGGCATGGGTTCAAGTGGTTTTACCTTTGCCCCACTGCCTTCTCCTGCAAAATCCACTCTGCAGCACTGATTTGGAACAAATGACATAGAATTGTAGAGTTGGAAGGAGCCAACCCTCTGCATTCCGGGAATATTTTGCCCGATGGAAAGCCCGATTGTTTGTTCCAATTCAGCAGCAAACTATAGGTTTTCCTGGGGGATGAACCCCATAGGCTGAACTGCTAGCAATGTTTTGTTTTTCGGATGATGCTTCAGAGTTGCATCTGAATTTGGACCGTTGCAAGGGTAGGGAATGGAAAGGACATGGGCGAGGGTTAAGAACGAAGAAGTATGCCTTGAAAAGAATTTGCACTGTGGTGCCCTTTTATGACAAAGCAGACAGCACTGTAGGTATATCTCTTTAAGGCTACTTTCGAAGTCTTGCTGCAGTGACCCCTGCTGCACGTAACTGAAGACTGAGCCTTTCTTTCTCCTTTGGAAGAAAACCTTTGATGTCGTTGATTAGTTGCACTAAATGTTTAACTGCTTGTCCTCGAAGCCGCTTTGAGTCAATTAGCAGCAGCACAAGAGAGTGGATATCACGGAGTCGGATTCCTTTTTAAAAACGCGTTTGCCGGTTTTAAGTGAGATGCGGGACTCAGAGCTATGCTCGCAGGTTACGTTTTGCAAGTAGCCACACAGGCTAGCACACCCCTTGGCTGGGGTCTGTGTTCGTAACCCAATCTCTGCAGCATCCTGGAAGTGTCAAGGAAGAACAGCAACGGTTTAAAAAGAAAGTGTGCCACTCGACTCCAGATACATGAGCGTGACCCTGTGAGAAGTACTTGCGAGTTCTGGAGTAGCAATCTCCCATCGAGGGTGACTGAGGGTAGGAGCGTGAACAATAAAACCATTATAATCAACACAAAAATACAGAAGCTGAAGGTATTATTGACGTAGCCACCACAGAGGCTTGGAAAAACAGGAACGTCTTTATGCTGCAGTGAAATTCCGTAAGTGTCAAGGCCTTCAGTGTCCCTAAGGGGAGGGAGTTGCACAGCTGGGGTGCAACTTCAGGGTGCAATTAACGCTCCCAGGTGGCTCCAATTTTGAGCCCTGTCATAAAAATGCTTATCTCCCCCACCCCCAAACCTCTTTCATTCGTTCAACAACTCTTCAGAGAAATTGTCATTATAAAAGAGCTGATAATGAGGTTTTCTCAGCCATTAGCAAGCTCTTCTGACATGCAAAGTTTTGACTTTTCCTCCTTCAGCTCTTCCAGGTTCTGTAACTCTTCTTCATTCATCTTTATGGCTTCAGGGGTTTGCTTGTCATCCTTGTAAGCTGCTCCTGTTTCTTTCTGCGGCCATTTCAGTCTGTCCCGCAAAAGTGGCAGGTCTTTTGCCAAAATCTTCCTTGCTGGCA